GATATGTTTTTTTAAGTTGTCTTTATTGAGCAGACACATTAGTGTACTGAGTTTTAAGCAATTTTATACCTAAATGATAACCAACTGGACTAAAATCATTTGTTTTCCTGTTGGTGGCCTGTCCTGAGCCTGGTTCTGCTGGAGGTTTCTTCCTGTTAAAAGAGAGTTTTTCCTTTCAACTGTCGCCAATGTGCTGCTCAGGATGGGAGACTGTGTTGAAGTGATTCAACACAATCTGCTAGTTTCTTAAATTGTTGTTGTGTACAGCGCCCTGAGGCGGCGCATGTCGTAACTTGGTTGCTATATAAACTGAATTAAATTGACTTGAACTGGTGCGCTCATCTCACACATGCATGTCTCATTTTAATGAACTGAAAAATTTAAATAACAGCTGAGAGAATATCTTTTTTATGTTTATATTTCTACTTCAAACTTGTGCCAAAAGCTCTGATTGGCCTCCCTATTCTGTGTTTGTTTACCACCTGTAGGAGGTATGAGTCGATGATCTATTTTGAGACATTTTTATTTTTCAGTGCTTTTAAAATTCTACTAATCTGAATCGATTCTTCTCTGAGTCTAATCAGGGACGTGCTCTATTGAAAACAGTCCCTCCCACGTTGGCACTGGAACATAAAGAGGCCCCCACTAACACAAGGACACGCTCCAAAAACAATAAAAATAAATAAATAAAAACAAAARGAAACGTTTTAATAAATTGTTAACTGGTCAGCTGGAATGAAATAATGAAATCAAATAACACAATCACACCTTGATTTTTTGCTCGAGCGTCCCACCCAGAAGAATAGTGATTGCTTTTCCGTCTTAAATACAGCGCAGGAGCAGCTTTGAGTGGGTGGTGTGGTAAAACATGCTGTTACACCCCCCCTGCTGTGCTCAACCGTTGAGCCCAGACTTTTTTTGTTTGTTTTTTAGCTTTTCAGAGGGAAAAATAAAGTAAAAAAAAAAAACTGAGGTGCAGCAACTCACGTGGAGAGTTATGAGACGATGAATATGGGGTGCCCTTTGTAAAGATACGCAGTCAAAAATTACTACCAATATTTTTGTTTTGTTTAGCCTTTTATAAGAAAAAAGAACAGCTTCATTTTTAAAAGTCAGTTTTTCATCATATGATTCATACATTTATAAATGT